CTACAACTCACTGGGCTCAGGTTATTCACAATGATTTCTTCTGGCTGGTCATCTGATTGTATCTGGACTCGAAGCTCCGTCTCTATTTCACCAGCTCATGGGTGTGTACCAACTAGACCATTTCTCGATTTATTTTTGTGGCATCCTTGCCTAGGAGCCATGCTAATTTTCTCTATTACACTACAGTCTTCCCCCGAATACAACGTGCGGTCATTATAGCTGAATTTAGACTGAAAGATACCCCACATTCAGCTATAATGACCGTACGTTGTATTCGGGGGAAGACTGTAGCGTTCCAATTTTAACTGATGTCCCAAAAGCCGGGTGTACATTTTGAGTATTTATTTTGTCAAGAGAAGGGCGGCGGCCTTGAGATATCATCATCAAGTTGAGGGGGGGGTAATTCAGAACAATTTCATTCAATTCATCTAGGTCCATCTGGAATCGATCTCGGGTCTGTAATTCAACAGTTCATGGATGTACTAACTGAGCTAGGCTCGTTGGACCAGGTCTTTTTTTTTTTTTTTTTTTTTTTTTTTTACAAACACCCCTGTAGTGCTAGTGGTGCTGTCGTTGGACCAGGTCTGTTGGTGCCCTTTCGCTAGCCCTTTCGTAGACTGAATATGCGCGAGCGCTTGCTCTTGTGTTTCCACTCTTGACCAATTTCACTTCTTCATCTTCTTTAAGGGCGGTGCGTCCAGCCGAAAAATGTCGGGGACTGTGCTCTTCAAGAGCTTGGCTATGGCAGTTCAGACTGTGGGAGATAATGCAACGTTTCTATTGTGTAGCGTGGTCGTATCGTGAATTTGTCTCACTATCACGATTCTTCTTAGGCAATCTGCATTTTACTATTTGAGGGCAAGGCCGTCGGTCCTCATTGCTCGGTGGTTGGCAGGTAGGGGGTGGGTGCCGTAAGGCGGATCTGGGGAGAAGACCCCTTATGAGTGCCAGGTGCGCTTCCTTGCTGAATCGTGCGTAGGGGCAATGAGAGAGCGGCGTTTCTTCTGAGCTCAGTGCGTGCGGATGTATGTGGAAAAAATTGTTGAAGCTTGCACGAAAGACAATCTATGACCTCTGTTTATCGCTATTCTTCTTTCTTCTTTCTTCTTTCTTTTTTTTTTTTTTTTTTTTTTGTAATTATCATCGTAGTGATGATGATTATAATCCTCTTTGCGCACGCACTATTTTTTTTGTTGTTCCGATTTCCGTGGGTGACACGAACCAGATTGCCGTGCGGGCGTCTTACTGCTCTTGCACCTTCGCTGGGCTCAATGTACATTGAGCCCGCGCTTTGACTGTGTCGGAAATTTGTGGCTTTTACCGGGCGCAGGAAGGCGGGAGGTTGGGCGGGGAAATGTTTTTTTTTTTTTTTTTTTTTTTTTTTTTTT